GGAAAAAGACAAAAAGACAAAAAAAAAAAAAAAATTTATTAAGTCCTCAAAGACACCAAGCTCAAATCAAACTAACAGTTCTCGTGAAACCAATCAAGATAAAATTTCCCTAAGATTTTCATCAATACATATTTCCCTCTGATCTGAAACACATACTCATACTTACATTAAGCTCAATATTTCAAATCTGAATATATGTACTGGTATTCCAGACTGTTACAAATTCTATTGTTTTGTTTCTGTCCAGCTGCCCTATTCTGATTTTCAGAAAAAAATACATTGAGTTTTTCCTCACTTATAGGCAGTTTTCTTCCAAGTTAAGCCTATGATAATTTCACCAAAAAGCCTCTAGCAGAAACTAGAGCTTAAAACCATTACCCTGATTGTTTTTAGTTATTCAAACTTCATGATCACAAAAGCACATAATTGGTAAGTGTTGGCACACCAGATCTCTGCCAGTTCCACTCAGTATTCCAATACTTCTTCATAGCCTCATTCTGTCCACTAAAGGATAAAGGCCTCACCATGGAGCTGACAGAACAGCTTAGCTCTGTTATTTCCAGTGCTTGTTCCCTTAAAACTTTTTATTGCTCAAATTGCATGGGTGACAAAAGGCTTTTGTAGACTTGTGTCCAAAAAAACTCACTTGAGACCAAATGTATTTCACTGGTAACCCACACAGTGCTGGTTTCTTACTATAAAACTACAAAGTTATTTTTTTCTCCCAGTTCAAGACCATTTTTTTACCAATATTGCCAACACTTTATCGATGGACATTTAAACAGTGAAATGACTTATTATTTTTTTTTTCCTTTTTGTCTTTTTTCGTGACCGGCAATGGATCACAACCCTCAGTGTCGTGCCCATACTGGACCGGGACCGGCAACGGGATCGCAACCCTCGGTGTTGCGCCCGCACCTCGCTCAGCCAGTGAGCGGCCAGTCTGTATGTGGGATCCGAACCCTCGGCGGGAGCACCACCGCACTCCCAAGCAGCGCACAGTAGCAGTGCGCCACTGGGCCGGCCCGTGAAATGACTTATTTTACTTTAACACAATGTTCTTCCTTCGAACTCATAGTTTGAAAAAAAACTCCATCCTCATCAAGCCACTATCAATAACTAATCTTTAAACCTCCCAAAACAGCAGGTTGGATACTTATTTGCAAAAGATCCAAGTCAACATTTTTGATGGTAAAATGAACACAAATACTAACATTTAGCAACATGTGAATACATTTTGATCATAAATTCTCTAGCTATAATGACTGAACTTTAAGTGTAAGGATTAGTAAACAGACCTAAATCTTTTTTTTTTTTTTTTTTTTTAAAGATGACCAGTAAGAGGATCTCAACCCTTGGCTTGGTGTTGTCAACACCACGCTCAGCTAGTGAGCCAACCGGCCATCCCTATATAGGATCTGAACCCGCGGCCTTGGTGTTATCAGCACCGCACTCTCCCAAGTGAGCCACCGGCCGGTCCGACCTAAATCTTTTTAAAGTTAGGCCAGCTGCTTTACACAGCAAGTTTTCTGAGTTATTCATCTCCCATGCAAAAACAGAAAACTGATCCAATGGTCTCTCTCCATATATATTTCAAATAAATCCTCTCAGTTTACATGAGTGAATTTCACCTTACCACCTGACTCTCTCCTAGAGGTCAGCATGACACATTTTTAAAACTTGCTGTAAAATTGGGTTGACTAGGCTCAACGTACCGTCCCCGTCATGGAGAGAAAAACGTGGACTTAAGGGAGTAGTTTAAAAATAAAGCTGTCCCAAGCACTGGCTACATAGTTTTGATAGGACAACTTTTTATGAGGCAAACCACTACCTGGTGCACTAGTAGAGCAACTGCTTGCCATTACTCCTTTGTGATTCAATGAGTCGGGCCTTTCTCTATCATTAACATTTATAACATAACTCCAGAGGTAGACCTTTAGCAAAGGCTAAAAAACAAAGACCACAATAGATGTTTTTAATTTTAAAGAATTTTAATACAAACTTAATATAAACTATTTCAGTCCCTCTTAACATGTAAGACACTGACTCAAAATACTTTTATACCATTTTTTCAAGTATTGCACAATATAGGTACAAAATTAATATTTACGATTACATTTTCTTCCATAATATATAGCAAAAATCTTTAAACCTTTAACAGAAAATACATTT